TTTTTTTTTTCCCCCATTGTTTTTGAATGATACTTTGAGCTTAGTTTGTCACTTATCAATTGATTCCCTTCCAAATGAGCAGCCTTTTTGTTTAATTAGTTACATTGATCTTTTTGTTCTTGGGGGGCCCTGTAGGCAATGAGCTGATTTGCAGTTCCCTTTCAAATGGCAATGTATGACTTTGCTCATTCCTCTTAWGCAACCTGAGTTCTCCTAATGGTTTTGCATTCATGGCATGACAATGAGATGATACTTGCCTGGCTGAACCTCACATGCTGTGAGAAATTTGGGTGGTTTTCTGGTTTTCTCTCTCTCCCCTCCCCCCACGCCCCCCTTCAGTAAATCCARTAATTTTGCTTCAGCCTCCTTGGAGTTTGACCTAGGTTGATCCTAGTGAGGATATCTCAGTGTTGGCTGCATTAAAAAGTAGTTTGGTCAACCAGGTTCTAAGCTTCTGCCTTGCATTAGACCCTCCTTGGGTGTCCCTTAGTCTTGCCAACACATGGCAAGACCCACCARTGCTTCCCATTAAACTTACACAAAAGCATTTTGGGGAGGCTTCAAATCATTCGGGATAGATTTTTTATGGACTGCTTTAAGAAACTATTTCAGCTTTTGTCCAAACATTTAATACCACCCAAGATACAGTTTCATAAATACTCTGTGAGCTTTGTGTTGCACAAGGAAAGTTTAATTAAAACCCTAAAAAACCTTCCGGATGGCAGAAATTTAAAAAGACTAGAACTAAAAAGACTAGAATTTCCATAATAAATATTCTGGAAAATAATGGCTTGTTTAAAGAGAGCATATTAGAATATCTTCACTTTTCATAATGGAAATGATATGGACGTGACTTGAAATTCAAAGAGCAAAAAGCTGATACAATGGAAGACTTGCATAATGYGCAGTTCAGCCTTGTTGCAAGGTCTTTTGAAGACCAAGAAGTTAGGAGTCTTCAAAAGAGGAGGTCTTTTGAAGACCAAGAAGTTAGGAGTCTTCAAAAGAGGANAAAAAAAAAAAAAAAAAAAAAAAAAAAAAAAAAGTGATACACAACCTCAGCCAGAAACTATGAATCTTCACTTAATAAGACAGACATGAAGGAGGTTTTTCCTGGAAAAATGATTAGGAGATGTCTTGGACTTAACCTTTGAAGCAACTTTGATTGAGCCGCATCTATGCTGCTGTGTTGCCACCTCACATAATGTGAATGCAATGGGTGTTGCTGGGACCAGCGCTTCAGCAGTGGGCAATTGCTTCACAGAATCACAGGACGGTTGAGGTTGGAAGGGACCTCTTGAGATCATCCAGTCCAACCCCCTGCTCCAGCAGGGACACCTGGAGCATGGGGCACCCAGTCGCACCCAGGCAGGTTTGGAAAATCTCCGGAGTAGGAGATTCCACAATCTCTCTGGGAAGCCTGCTCYAGTGCTCTGTCACCCTAACATTACTTGTTAAAAAAGAAATCCTATTGCAGTACCTGTTTTAGCAATTTGGTGGTGAAAATCCACAGTTTGTAGATCACAAGGTACAATTTTGGGATGAGCCTTTGATATCAGACCTCCTGGTTCTACCTGGCTGCATTTAGTGGAAACTTGCTGGCAGTTCACTGGTGATTCAGGGTGTACCCAGAGGGATAGAATAACTCAGTGTGGCCTCATAAACTTGTTGATGGGTAAAACTTATGCTCGAGTCAAATGTCAGATCTAGGTGCATTAATGCAACTAGTTTGGGCAGAAGGAGCATCAGGGAGCACCAGAGCAATTGAGTCCAATGGGCCTCTGTGCTGGAGTCATGAAGTATTTGCATTTATTTTTCCCAATTCTCTGCATTTGACCAGGGAAATCCTCCTTCCTTTGCTCTGGTTCTAGCTCTCCTTTCTYGTTTGCTCAGGAGTGTGCTGCAATGGTTCATGTGGGACGGCAGATTCAGATGAATCTCTTCCTCCAAGGAAATGTTGCTGGAGAGCGCGGGAAACTGTGTGTTGGTTGAATTTAATTAAAATCCTCTCATTATCCATCTTCTTTGTTTGGAGCTTGCATTTGAATCCTCCTTTTGATACATTTGCTTATCGCTAATGTGCAATTACTGGTGCTCTGAAATCGCTGCGGAGTGCTGTGCAATACCCTCATCTGAAGGCCTAAAAATGCAATCATTGACACCCCTGATCAATAAATCAGGAGGGCCAGAGATACCTGCCTGGCCATTTATCCATAGGAGCAATTTGGATATCGGAGCATCCCTCTGCCTGCTGTCTCCGCTTTGATGCCATCCCCAAACTGGGATTGGGTGGGAGGGTAAAGTAGTACCTGGTACTCAACCAGTTGACTTTGACAAAGTGGKAAAGGGCAAATAAGCTTTAATTGGGTTTTAAACCGCAATCTGGCTGCTCTGATTGCAGTATCATATTTTATGTTATGCATAAATATTCTATGTAAAATAGACTTGTATACTTACGTATAAGACTATATAGCTTTATGATACTCCCCTTGGAGGTATATATGTGCCCTAGGAAGGTTGCGTCTCCCTTCGGAAACTTGACTTCCACCATCACTAGACCGTGAAAACYGAGAAAATAACCAAGAAAATTCCATCCATCTCCGTTTTTAATGGGAGCCGAGTCCTTATCCCAACTGTTGGCACTGCTTGCTTGGGMTCAGCACCATTCCATGGAGGAAGGCCCTTTGCCTCTGGATTTGGCCTTGGCAGAGCAATTTACAGCCAAGGAATTAAGTGCAGCAGGAGGGTCAGTTTTGATTTATTAGTTTCTATCTTAGATATATATATATATATTTGAATTATCTGATGGAATAAGGGGGGGGGGGGAGGAGAGAGAGGTGACTTTAACCATTTTTCTGTCTTCTGACCTTCATCAGCTGCCCGACTGTCCTGCTTTTGATATAGGGATTATAGGAAAGATTCAGGCGAAGGCTATAATTTTATGCTGAAGAATGGCTGTAGTTGGGAAAAAAATAGATATTTCAAATGAATGAGAAAGACAGTAAAGTGTGTGCATGGCAAAAACAGAAAGTCACAAATAACATGGGCCAGTGGAGTGGCCGACACTCCGGAGGGCTGTGCTGCCATCCAGAGGGACCTGGACAGGCTGGTGAGTTGGGCAGAGAGGAACCTCATGAGGTTCAATAAGGACAAGKGCAGGGTCCTGCACCTGGGGAGGAATAACCCCAGGCATCAGTACAGATTAGGGGTGGACCTGCTGGAAAGCACCTCCACGGAGAGGGACCTGGGAGTCCTGGTTGACACCAAGTTAACCATGAGTGAGCAGTGTGCCCTCGTGGCCAAGAAGGCCAATGGGATCCTGGCCTGCATCAGGAGGAGTGTTGCCAGCAGGTCAAGGGAGGTGATTCTGCCCCTCTCCTCAGCTCTGGTGAGGCCGCACCTGGAGTACTGTGTKCAGTTCTGGGCACCCCAGTATAGGAGGGACGTGGAGCTTCTGGAGAGGGTCCAGAGAAGGGCAACCAGGATGATTAAGGGAATGGAACATCTCTCGTATGAAGAGAGGCTGAGYGAGCTGGGCCTGTTTTCTCTGGAGAAGAGACGGCTCAGAGGGGATATGATTAATATGTATAAGTTCAGGARGGGAGAATGCAGGGAGGAAGGGGACAAGCTGTTTTCACTGGTGGCCAGCGATAGGACGAGGGGTAATGGCCACAARCTGAAGCATAAGAAGTTCYRTCTCCAGGTGAGGAGCAACTTCTTTACTGTTAGGGTRACAGAGCAGTGGAACAGGCTGCCCAGGGAGGTTGTGGAGTCTCCTACTCTGGAGGTCTTCAAAACCCGCCTGGATGCCACCCTGTGCCACATGCTSTAGGTGTGCCTGCTTGAGCAGGAAGGTTGGACTAGATGATCTSTAGARGTCCCTTCCAACCTTAAATATTCTGTGAATCTGTGAAGCTCCTCAGTTTGGAAATGCCGAAGAGTCTTCAGATGATGCAGAGCCTTATGCAATGCTGTTTTAAGAAGGGAAAAAAAAAGAATTTTCATTTTCAACTGTTTACTTTCTGCAAATGTTGTTACCAATTCAAAAAAATAAAAAAGCAGCCCTCATTAATCACGGTGTTGGTGAATGGAAGGACTAGCAAATAAAAGCAGAGTATATTGATGTGTTTTATTCATGAGGCTATTTGTAAATCTAACTTTTTCTCCTCCCTCTTTTCTGTTTCCTGTAGAGAAATGGGATATAGAGATGAAATTTATACCAATTACCCCTTTTGGAAAAACAAAAACAACAACAAAAAAAGTAATTTCATTAGTTTTGAAAGCAGCTTTGCCTGCGTCAGCTGTTCCTCTAAAGAAGGAGCCCCCGCCTCGAAACATCGCGGATAGGAACATTCATAATTAATGCAAATGTTTAAGTTGTATCTGAATTGATATCCTGTAATGTCTGGGGTTCTGTGCTTTCGATCCAGGTGATCCTGTTTGCTTCCTTTTGCYCTTCGTTTTATGCAGTATTGAGCTCCTACGGTCTGTTAGGTTTGTTTTTGCACACTTGGGGTGATGCTTTTGCTTTTAAAATGTATGGTGCGTGTATCCACATCCATATATATGCCTCACATGCATGGTGCAGGAGGAATGTGGAAAACAAAGTTGGGGGGAACAAAATCAAAGTGTACTTAATTATTGGGGTATAACAATTCTTGAACCCAAAGTCCCTGAGAGCAACCTGCTGGGACTCCACTGCATCTTGGTGACATGGTGGCTCTTGGGCAATATATATATATGTGCAAAGCCCAGGTGCTAGAGTTAAAATTTAGGATAAAATTGGATGCCTGTTTTGGGATCATTTCCACTTCCATTATCCAGCTGACTTCCATCAAGGTTTTGAGGTGGATGTCCCTGTTTTCACACTTACTCCTGACACCTTCCACAGCTCACAATGTTTTTTTGCATTGAGTTTTGATATTTGCTAATTGATTTTTACCCTTGTCTTCTTTCTTTTTCTTTTTTTTTTCTTTTTTTTTCCTTTTTTTTTTTTCCTCCAGCTCTCGTAAATGTGAAACTTTGGGCTATTGATCGGCAATGTTTTCAAACAATAATGATGAGGACAGGCCTTATCAAGCATACTGAGTATATGGAATTTTTAAAAAGGTAGGACACTGGTTTCCTTTATTAAAAAAGTAATAATTATTATTATTATTATAAAGTGTAAAAGCTGCTGTCTTGCACTTTTGATTTCTTTTTGTGGTGTTTGCCTTGCTTGCTTTCCATCACTTTTCCTTTGCTGTTTAACCCTCTCTATGCTGTGCCCCACAGCACGGGGCTGCTGCTGAGTCCCTTTCCTGTAGCAAGTTATTCATTTGCAAAAAGGAGGAGAGGGCCCTAAGGGTATCAAACTGTGAGCTGCATAGAAAAGCGAGAATAAAATAACAGGATTATTTCAAAGCTTGCCGTAACGCAGGAATGAAAAAGAACTCCCATCAAAAAAAAAAAAAAGAGCTGCCTAGAGAGAAAATCTGATTTTTATGGTGATCTAGAAGCAAGTCTATGGTGCCTTTTTGCACTTGCAAGCAGAGAGCAAATGCAAGCTTCTCATGAAGCCAAAACTCCAGGTTTCTGCAACATAGGGGCTGGATGGTTGTCRAGGGACATGTGAAGTGAGGTCTCATTCATTAAATCTGATTTTAATCTCTCAGATACTGGTCAGCTAGCGCTGACATCTCAACATTACCCCAATGTGTAAACACAAATTGCCTCAAAAACAGAAAAAAAAAAAAACCCCAAAATATCAGAAAAGCGCTATACTAACAGCATCCCCCCAAAAAATCATGCCTTCCCTATGTTAGTAAATGGGGACCTTCCTTGCCCAGTGGTGAATTAGACCAAGAAATGTGTGTATAAGACCAGTTCTGGGGGCAAGGGTGCTTGTTCAAAGCAGAAGCTCTGCCCAYGTTAAGCTCTTAAGCTTTGAGCTTTAATAAAGATTTTCTTGGAGATTGTSAAGATTAATTTAGATGCAGGTTGTGTGGAGCCTGCCCAGCTTTAATTTTAAGGCCAACAGGGTGAGGAAGAAATGGAGAATAGTTTTCCCACACGATGCATGAGCTGCTTGGTCACAACCCATTACAATATGTCCAGCAGTTTATGAATACTCCTTAGAAATGCTAAAAGCAAGGGGATATCTCTTTATTTCTATCATGAAGCATCATTTTGGGAATGTGTTTCTTCCTGGGCCACAACTGTAGAGTGAGCCAGGATAGTTGCATGGTTTTCATTATAAAACATCATTTTCCCTTTGCTTCCTTTTTTTCCCCCTCTGTATGTCAATAGCTATCTAAAATGCAATATAATTTTTTTTTCATGTTAACAATGTATTAAATGTTCATTTTTTTGTGGAGGCTTCCCTGCTTGATGCTTTTAAAAAAAGATGCCTTAAATAGGAAATCAAGGGAGTGTAATCAACTGCTGAATGTCCTCTTTGTGTGTTGTCTTTTCCCCCTTATTAATAAGTGAATGAAAATGTTGCTGTTAAGAAATCAAATATAATAGAGTTTCCTTATAAAGACGTAAGTGGAACCTGTTCATGAAAAACCAGCATGATTGGAAAGCCTTGTTTTCTCTGTGCGCTTCATAACGTTGCTGGTCACAAGCAGTAGGAGTCATTCTTCCAATAACTTAGTTTCAGCTACCAACACGGTCTAATAAAAATGTAGCTATTKGGGACGAAGTGAGGTGTTCATCTTTTTTTATTCATCTTGCTGAAAGTGGTGGCAGASTGATCCCAGGGATCACCTAGGTGCCATGAATTCCTTGGAAGAGTCGTTACCCTTCTGGCCAATACTTGCTGTCCTACCAGATGTTTCCTTTGAAGGAACATGTTGATGACACAGGTCAGCTCTTGTTTCACAGCTTCAGCTTTTTATGTCCAGAGAAGATGTATCCCAGCCCTTTCTTGGGTGTACTGAAAGGAAAAGAGCAAAAGTACGTTGCCTGTTTGAGAAGTCTGAGTCTCCCACCCAACAAATACCGTTGCAGAAAGTTGTGTCCAGGGTTGCTCCAGGGAATTGGTGCCGTTGCGTAGCATGGCTTCTTTTCCTAGATTTTGATGGTGGTTCCCGGTGTTTTCTCCCCACCTCAGGGCGGTTAATATATTCTTTAGCCTCGATGGAAGAGGTTGGTGGGATTATTAGCTTCAATAAGGCTGATGAATGCTAGTGATGTTTCTCCAGCCCTATCTTCCTATGGCATTTATGTGTCTCCCATTCAGAGATAAAACTAAATGTGTCTGAGGTCACCCAAGAGATTTTCCATCGATTAATTTAGAAAATAATGCAGTCTGTTTCCTTGGCTTGAGAAGTGGAGAAGGAAACAAAGTCATCCAAGAGCTTCTGGTAGCCACCTAAGTCATCGCAGTCCACATGGGACAACATAATGTAGTGCATAGTTTGTGCAGGCTTGTAGAATTTGMAATAACTCTTGATTTATGTAAGTCAACTACAGTGCTTCGGAGTATGGAGCAGGTAGACGTCCTCTTTTTCACAGCATAAAACTTATTTCATTTTGGTTTTGTTCACTATTAAAATGTTATAATCTTTTTTTCCTTGAGCCTCTAATTAAAATGAATCCATTTAAGCAAGATCAGGGTATTTTCCTCAAGGAGACAATTATTTATAAAAAGACTGCATTTGTTAGGGAAATAAGCTTGAAAAGCTTTGCCCTGAAGCAATTGTAATTGTCTCCTGCTAAATCATAAAAGTTTGATGGAGGAGGATAAATATCCACTCTCCAAAAAAGACCAGACTGACTTGGAAAAGTAAATATTGTATTTTTTTTTAACAAAATCTTTCTAAATATTGCATATAAAGCTGCCTAATGTTCCGGTGCATTGTGTAAACTCTGCTTCATCCAAGATCCTGGAATGGATCAGCAGAACAAAAGRTAAATATTGGGTACAGCCTTAGAGGAAGGAGCTAACCTCAGAATAGGAAGCTTAAAGGAAATCATACACATACACACGCACAATCTTGAATCCTTCTAAATAAAACTCTGGTAATAGACAGAAAAAAAAAAAAGAAGGGAAATTACACCCAAGATATCCTTGCTAGCCCAAACTCTACACTTAAATTTGATATTAATGTCACAAATCGTAATTTTGCTGAAAATAAAGGTTGCTTTTTTTTTGCTTTTAATGTTGGATCTTTAGTCTAGCCTATGTTTTTAGCTGAGACCCAAATGGCCTAGGTGGAAGGTTTTGATCTGACAAAGCATGATAGAGTTGATTATATCTAAGAAACAAGAGTTTACACRCTCATCTCTCTGAGGAATTACAGCAGTGAACCCTAGATTTGATGGCAACACATGCTAAAATTGGCAYGATCGGCATGATTATTTTAAGGGGGAATGTTTTGCTTTTCACTGAAGTCATTTATCAATGACAGGGAAAGCACATATATAAAAAAGCGAAGTGTTATTAAATTACTTTATGTTTGAAAGATTGCAGTTTCATATGAAATGTTTCCCAAAGGGCATCTCAGGATAGGAGTGGGAGCAGAGCTAAAAGAGTGGCAAAGCAAGGAAAAGGTTTTGAAAAGAGTTGAAAATTGAGGTTGCTTTGGTGAAGCATATGTCCTATGACTGTTTCAGATGACTAAACCTGCAAAAAGGGTCTTGACATGAAGAAAAAACTCTTGCAAAGCACTTGAAGCATGGACAAAGCAAACCGATGGGATAGTAGAGAAAGAGGGAAAGGAAATTATTTGTATGAGGGAGATAAGCACATTTACTCTTCATATGAAGTTACCCCTTAGGTAGGAATAGATGTACTAGTTCAAGTCAGGAGCCCATCCAGTCCAGGGTTCTCTTTATCCCTTTGCTTTACAAAATGGAGGAGACTGCCCCAGGTAAGATGGAAAGARAGCAGGTCAAGAGAGTTGGATTGAAGAGTCCACATCCACAGGATCTGGATGTCACGCATCTTGAGGATTCTCCAACTTTCTGAGGCTTGAAAAACAGCCCAAAGATTGTTCTTAGGAGGACAGAACTTGACTGATCAGAACTTGATCATCATATGTCTTTGGGCAGGCATGGTAGGATGTATAGAGAGGAGAAATATAGTGGCTTTTTTCTTGATGTGTTGCGGAGTGTATGGCTGCAGGTGGTGAAGATGCTCYGTGCACCATCAGGATCCCTTGGGAGGTCCTCTACCTCTCCAAAGCTCATGTATAAAGGATGAGGACGGATGAAGAGGGGAGAGCAAGAGATGCATTGGGTGGTATTTCAGGTGGCCAGTGTAGGAAGAGCTGTATGTCTGATTTAGAAATTACACACAAGCTTGTCGTGTTGGCTTCTGCTCTTGAAATGCAGCCCAGGCTCAGGCAGTTTGAAGGTATTTTGGAGAAAAGCTTGTGTTTGCAAGYGGCTGAAAGCGAGATGGTGGTTTCCCCTGTGCCGCCGTGCCTGGCCGGGCACCGAAGCAGAACTGAAGTGATGTACCAAAGTATCAAACTGTCAATTTTGTGCTGCCCTTTAGCAAGAAAAATAGTCTCTCTGGTTTTTATTTATTTATTTTGCCAGCGAGAAGGCCAGGTTAAGATTTTATTAAAAAAATACACTTATACTAAATGGATGCAGCAGCCAGAGTCTAGCCTCTGTAATCCCACATGAATGCTATTAAGACATATAAAAAAGCTGGTGTAGATGCTGGGTTTTTTTTTTAAGAATTTAGTGTTAATTATGTTTTTCATCTAAGGAAAATTTGCAACAGAGGCAATAGACCGCAAGGCAAGAGGAGGAAAAGGAGGAGCTGTGATGTCCCCCTTGAATCAAAGGAATCATTGAAACTTTAGGTGGGAATATTTTAAACACAGGAGCTAAAATCTCCTATGATCATCAGATGGGTGATGATTGTATACAGCATTCCCCAGACTGTCCCAGGMTCGGCGTCCACCGTAATCAATATTAGGATTTAACGCGAAGGGGAGTCGATCCATTTCTCTGTGTACTTGCCTTGCTCTTGGCACCCCAACAGAGGAATAGCATCAAATGTAGAYGAGGCACAAAGCAATTCTGCTCATACAGTTTTGCTCATGCTACTCTTGTGGATTGACAAAATCTGGTTGTTTGTACACTAACATATCTGGGTGTTTACTCCA